ATGCACATACTAATCTCTTTATATGTTGTACATGTGCCTTCCAAAGGTAACTGCCCTTTAGACTGGCTGCAATTCCGAGTCAGTTGGAGGACCACAGTTTTGCTGCAGTTACAGGGAAGCTTAGATAAACCTAAGCAGTCATCATTTATACAAATACCTGCATTGTATTTTTACTCTACCACATACTATAGCAATCTATGAAAAGTCAAATAGAGCATAAAAGTCTCTTTTGTATTTCACTGTCTACTTAGGTGATGTACTGCTAAAAATAATGATGTTATATATGCATTCATAGCAGCAGGCATTAAGAAACCTTTTGAAAAGTTTATATTGGTGCAAAGAATTCCCACACCAGAGGAAGGCCGTTTTTGGGAGGCAAACACACCGTGACGTTCTCCTCACTCCTGACCAGCCTTTTTTGCTTAGGGCTGCAGGTATCTCCGGGGAGGAAGGCCTCCCACTTCAGCTGCCCCCCGAGTTCGTTAACTGTGGGTCTCAATCCCAACTTCCAATAAGGAAAGAGCTTTCAGGGGCAATGATTAGTTCTGTCTAAATTACTAACAAAAGACCAGATAGCTCAAGCTACCATCTATAAACTTTTGTTAAAAGATATTAGTTGTATTGATACCAAATGGGCTGCACTGCAAATAGAAGGGTTTGAGGCCAACAAGTTCTTGGGTGTCTTCAACTCACCTTCCACTTAACCTAGCACACGAGTGACTCCCACCCTCTATTCTGCAGGGAAAAAGGAACTTAGAAATGAGTAAATTGGGAACATGTTTGCCTTACAAGCGAAGGGTAAAGAATGGAACTGGAGTTTTAGCTGTACAGAACTAAGTATTCCCTCCAACTTGTACATGACCCAGCTGTATTAAATTATGTGGCTGTTTAGTTACAAGTGTTGCAAGCTGATTGTAAGTCATCAGTAGGTGCCTTGTACTGTAAACTGTTATTGTAATAAATTTAATATTCATAACCATCTGTAGGTGTCTCATGTCTCTCTTTCATAGTATGTTTTATGCTGGAGTAGAATAGATCCAATTTTTTAAAAAGAAAGATAAAATTCAATTTCAAGAAAAAGCAGAGCATGCAGTCCAGTTTACTACCCCAACAAGGGCTCTTTGATGAACTGCAGAGTATTCCCTTTGGTGTCTGAACCTTGGCCCACTACTAAACACCCTCTTTTCATTCTATTCCAACAGAAGATCCAAGGTACATGACAGTTGTTTAGACAGAACAGCAGAAGCAAACTCTTCCATGTGAGGAGTAAATGTCTAGTTACTCAATCAACTTGCACAGAATTTACTCTGTTTCAGGTCTTTGTGAACTGGCTTGTTTTTGCTTTTCATTGCACTGGTATTTTACCCGTTATGAACAATGCATTAGAGATGTTAATTAACTTATGGTGATACACAGTCAAAATCAAACCCTCAGGACATTAATCCAAAAAATACTCGAAATAAATTTTTAGACAACACAGCCAGAGACTTTAGTTATGATTTGAACCCAATGCAAGCAGGTACAATCTACTCCAGTATGAATCTGTTTATAAGAGGAATTCTGTGCCATGTCATCTGCTACTAGCAATATAAAATGCCATTAGTTCAAACCATACCTAGACCCTGACATGTCATTAAGAAAACTTAAGGGCCTCTCTGTTCATATACCAAATCTTTCAGACAGAAAAGATGTTTTTGAATGTAAAAAGGAACACAAAGATTATATTCCTTTTCTCCTTTAATTGCCTTCTGCTTAAGATAACTGAAGCTTTGACAGCAATATATTCTTAAACATCAGTCTTCCTCTAAAAGGCAATGCACCAGCTCAAACACTGTCTTTTCTTTTGACTTTTGGCCAAAGGTGAGGATTACTCAAAAGTATTTCTAGTTAAATGTATCTTATTTTATAAGGCTAGCTTTTATGGCCCCAAGGAAAAGGGCAAGCGTATCGTAAGGAAAAAGGGAAAAAAAAATCCCAAACCAAAACCCCTGGTTAAATCAATTCTGAGAAATATATTTTATGATGTGAGAAAAGGAGAACAGAGGTTTTGGCAGCATTTAACTCAAGATGACACGAGAGCACAATTGACTCAGCTGCTCTTTCTACTATAAACTAATGCAGTAAGTTAATCACCCTGCAAGCCTTCCTGACAAGTGTCTTAGAAATGCCTGAGAATCCTCCTCAACCCTGGCAGAAAACACAGAGCATTCAAAGAACTGGGCTATCCAAGCCAGATGTGAGAAAGTCCCATAGGAGGTGTTAGGAGGATTACTAAATCAGAACCTTTCTTCATTATGTCACTCAGCTAATTTAAAAGGACATATACTGTTATAGGTATTAATCCTATCACCTCCAAAAGTGGCTACATCTAGTAGACAATCCACAGATCTTAATATTTGCCATGTAAAACAGTCTGAAAAAGACTTTAAACTATTTCCCACAGAAGCAGTTGCTTTTTATGCTGCTTTGTATCTGTTCTGAAACAAGAGGAATCCCATAAAATGATTTCTAAATGTTGAAAATCACCCTTGTGTACTTTTAAAGAATTGTCTGCCTGATGCCCATTCACCATGTATTGTGGTGTAATAAATTTATTAGAAAAAAAAAATAAAAAAAGAAACAAAGAATTACCAGGAAAAGTATTGAAAATACTTCGAGAAAACATGACCCATGCACAAAGTTATAATTTGTAGAAAAGTTTACTGCTTGCTTATGACCCCCTGAACAGATGAATTGATAAACTTAATAAAGACAAATTTAAATTTGCAGAACACGCAGGTAGACAATAATACTTGAAAAAAACATGTATTTCACAGAAAAGATGCTGCTTTTTCCAGTAAAATAACACAATCTCCAAAAAAATACACTTTAGAACCAGTAGGTATCTTACATTTTATTTAAGAATTTCTGTACATCAGGTCCCCAAAACCAAAGCCCAAACATACATTCAAATCCATATGTTAATATGGATTTAGCTTACAAAACAGCATCGTACATACAAAGATTTCCTAGACTATTATTCAGGCTGCTTTTCTTGAACTTTTCTCATTTACAGGGCTGTTTCTCATTTTTGAGAGCATCACTGGGCAGCAACAATTCTTGTATAACTGAAAATCCTATTGCTTCAGCAGAGCCAATCCTTGCTTGAGGACGTGTTCTCAACCAACACCGTGTCAAAGCTGTAGGACTGTTCCAGGTTTTCCAGATGAAAAAAAAAAACCACCCAGGAGAGGGTATGGAATGCCAGGGTGGACAGAAACAGTCATGTTTAATTCCTTGACTTTATAAATTTACTGAGGTTGCAGATCAAGTGGCCCATTAATCCATTTCAAAAGATATTTTTATTATTTAAAGAAAAGACGTTAATAAATAGCTAGATAAACTTTTACTTCTGTACAAGAGCCCTTGCAGCAGTGGCTTTTCTCTTTCGGTCGAGGGAGCAAATGCTGTTGTCCACTGCAATGACATTAATCTTCTTCCTTCTCAATGTAAGATTTGGTACCGACACGTGCCATTTGCCTTGCCAAATAGCGATCCCTGGCTGACATGACTGTCTCTTCATTGCTCCGCTTGGCAAATTTGCTTACGCTCTCAGGTGGTTTCTGTGCCTGCTCTTTCTCTTCTTTCTCTCCTTCTCCTGCTTTACGTTTTGGCTCAGACAAACTTCCAGAGCTGGAGCTGCTCTTCTCATCCACCTCTCTCTCTTTTCCTCTTGTGTGCTTCTCCGGGTCGGCCCCTCCATCTTTTTCTAAAGATGCAGGGCTCCTTTCCCTCCTGTGTCTGTGTTTCTTCTCATCACTACCATATTTCTCTTTTACATGATCTTCCTTTTCTCTGTACTTCTCATCTCTTTCCTTCTCTCTATCACTGTATTTATCTTTATCGTTTCTTAATCTCTCTTTTTCTCGTTCTGAACACTTCTCATCTCTCTCCTTTGCTTTCCTCCATTCTCTGCTATGTCCCTCCCTCTCTTTTCTTTCCTTCCCCCTGTGTTTGTCATCTGGCTCTTCTCTCCTTCTGTAGTTATCCCTATGAGTACGATCCTCGTATCTGTGCCGCTCTTTTTTGATACTTTTCCTGTGTCCTGCTCCTTCTCTCATAATCTTTTTCCCGGTACTGCTCATCATTTCCCAGCCTGCCCGTTCTGCTCTCTCCCCTCTTCGCATGACTCGTCTGTGCTTTCGTGCGCAGCTCGTCCTCCTCACTGGATGAGCCTGGTGACCTCGAATGCCTCCGGTTCTTGTCATGCTTAGAGTCCTCCTCACTGCTCACAGAGCTGTTTCGCCGTTCTTTCTGCTTCAATTTTACTTTACTTTTTCTACATCTCCTATCATCATCGCCACTATCACTTCCTAAATCAGTGTCAGCATCTGGATTATCTTCTTCCTTAACAGAAGGCTTCAGTCTTAGTCTTTCACCTGGGTCTTTGTTTCTTTCAATGGATTCATCATGATCATTGTTAGATTTTTCTTCCTTTATCCTACGTTTTTATGTTAAAAAAGAAAAGAAACATTACACAGTCTGACATTTCAGATGTTTCTCGAAATTGCTTCCATCAGAAAGCAAATCTAGTTGTGGCTCTGGTTCCAGAAGTCCAATGCAAAGAATCTGTACTAAAATTTTATGTCTGGTTCACTGGTAAATACAAGCAGATGAATTTATCTACAAGAACGATCACGGCTAAATATCTGCAGCCTCTGTTTAAGGGACAGGACAGAGATCCACATTCTACTGTTTGATCTTTGGTAAGCTGCATGTTTTTATTTATGTGCTTATTCCTCTGATAACAAATAATTATTCGGAGAAGCAGCAGATCTTACTATTTTTGGTAAGAGAGACAAGAATAGAGCATCGATTATTCGTAGCAGATTTCTTAATCTGGTTATTTCTGAAGATCTCACTCTTTTGATTAAATAGAAACTAGTATCTTTTCCACAACTAGGTTATTAAATACAAGAACCATGAGGGATAAACTCATAGATTTCATTTTGGCCACTTGTCAGAAGGTTACGCTCCTTCTTTTTTTCTGACTGAAGGAAATGCGTGTTTACTCACACATGCCACATGCCTTTTATTTCTAATCATACATCATCAGTATCCAGACAGCCACAGAAACCAGGCAGATATTGCTCCCCAGCGAAACCTGATTTGGGACACTTTCCAAGTGTTGAGGTATGCTAAGATTTTAAGCCTCATATGACAAACAACTGAAGCCACAAATTTCACATTCTCCACTGGAATTCAGGAAAGCATTCTGCTTTTCTTCCAGTCAGTAATTTTTACTTTCCATTTCTTTCATACCACTTTTCACTATAATATGTGATGAAGTGACATGTTTTTGTATTAAAGGAATAACGCAAATTGCCCATATTTCAGATAGCTGAGCGATTTCACTGTGATCACACTTTTGATATCTAGGATATACATATAAATAATTCAGCCTCATCTAATTACTTATTTTTGGACTATACATACATGTAATATTCTAAAATAGTGCTACTGGACTTTCTGTATATTTTATCAACTTCATTCTACCACAAAATCAACTTATTTATCATACATCTGTAAATGTGGACAAAGCTGAAGACCTACTTCTTTTTTTTTTTCCCCAGAAAATTCATATTATCGCACCATTTCCTGTGACTAAAATTTGAAGTACCTTACCTGTCTATGTCCATTATTTTACCTTTTGTTCCTCACATAATTAAAGTATGTAACTTAATGAAGACTGCCAATATTGTGCAAAACAAAATAAAAGCCAGGTTGGAATAATATCAGGCAGTGTTACCAGTGCGATGATCTCCTGGATACCTTTTCAAACAGCATCCCTGCTGTGCTTACTTCTGTCTTGCATTCAAGTCTACACCACTGATGATCAGACATCTTCCAAAAAACTCAGTAATACGAGGTACCGTGCTTACCCTGCCAGTGTTTTAGTATTCCCCTTCTTTCTACGGGGTTACAATGATGTGGGAATCACAAATAACCAAAACCAACTTTGCGTGTGAATCCCTTCTGGGATCACATCCTACCTGGCTTCACGGAAGCTGCATTTAGGCATCTCTTCTTCCCCCACTTGCTGTTTTAGAAGATGTCTGTAAAATCCACTGAGATCCTTCTGTTTGGTCACATCCAGGTAGGCTAAGGGAAAGGAAGGAAGCAAGGTTGCAGTAACTGTGTCACAAATACTCCTTAGACACCACCCACGGATATCTCCATCTTGGAAGTTTTTAAGATCAGACTGGAAAAAGCCCAAGGAAACTTGGCTGGAATCGATACCCTTTCTGAGGTCCCTTCCAATCTGAATTATCTTACTATCCTATACTCTTAGTGCTGAAAATACGGATTACAAATCCACCAAATTTATCCTTCTTGTTCTTTATTCTACTATCTATTCATAGTCCTAGTCCTTTATGCCCATTTCTAGGACACTAGAAACGGAATGTTTGCAGTAAGGAGTCTAACCATTGCTGGACTCCAGCCATACTATTCTTCCCTCGACAACTGATCCTTAAAAAATAGAAGGAGTAATCCAGATAGTACTGACACAAATTGAGGGACTCGCTCCATTCCTCCTACAATCTGTGCAACAGAAAAGTAACAGCCAAAATTTGCTTGTGTACAGATTGCTATCTGTTCTTTTTTGATATTTTATTTTTGATATTTCAACTATCTCATGCCTCACAGAGAATCCAGGACAGCAACACTAAATACAAGCCCATCTTTCTAAGAGGAGTTATACTGATTGAGTGTGAATCTCACCCTCCAGAGCTGCTTCTCTTCTTTCTCTTTCCTCCTCCTCAGCCCTTTCTTGCAGCTTCTTTTTATAGGCTGAAGTCACGAAGGCCTCTTTGTCAGCAAACTCTCCTCCTTCCATTTCACGCTCTTTCTGAATTTTCCTATCCATCCTTTTGTCTTGTTCCTTCTTTCTAATCTCAGCTGCTTTGAGGATATTTTGGATGTATCTGGGCTAGAGTAAATGTGGGAAAAGGTATAATGCTGAAAGATAGTTAAGATGGCTGAGAAAACACAAACTGGGGTTGCTAAAAAGGTTGAAGAAAGTTTGCAATGGAAGAAAAGCAACAGACACTAGTCTTGCAGGGTTTGACAGCAATCTTAATCTGTCACTCCCTTTTAGGTCACTGTCATGGCATGCTTCCTTTTACCAATAAAGGAGGCCGCAGCATGAAGTTAAAAGCTAGTATTTTTTTTTTCCAAAATTCTTACGAATTACTATCTTACATAACAGCACATGTGCACACACCTTGTATGCCCCAGGAGACAATACATTTAGCTTCTTAAGAGAAAGTTCAAAAATAAACAATCATAGTTATTCCTAGCATACATAGATGAGACAGACAGCATACATTTTCAGGTATGGACCTTTTTCTCATCTTTTCCTGATAATATTTTGGCATTACTTTCTTTCTTCTTCTGCTGCATTTCATCATAAATACTGTCATATTCATACACTGTAGCGTCTTCAGCCAAAGCCTTCTGAATCTCCAATTTAGTCTAAATGAGAACAAGGGAGGAAAAAAATATAAAAATGAAGCACGACAGTCCTACCATCTTGAAATATTTTATTTCTATACTGCAATGTCAAGAAATCCATATTACAAACTTAGCCATTGAAATATTGTGTGTAAATTAAAAATTGCCAGATCTACAATGTTCTTCAACTGGTACTGGGATAGAGAACAGGAACAACCAGTGCTGAGCTTTGCCCACTCTGTTTCCTGCACCTAGGAACAACAGTTGAAACTATAGTGGAACCTTCTTAATCAAGTTATACCGTCTCCTATGGTATAGGCTTTTTTTTTTTTTAATTTTATTGTGTTTTCATCCACAGACATTCCCTGCAAAGCTCCAAACAACAAGTATGTAGAAACAACATGCATCAATATGATTTAAGCTGCAATTCTGTATTTCACAGTTCTATCTTCTGCTTACACTGCCAAGTTTCAAGTCAGAACTATAAAACAATACCGTTTTTAAGAGCCCTATTAAAACAAACAAACAAAAAACCCACAGTAGGGGAGCCCTTGGATCTGTCCTACTACTAACAGAAGAGGAATGTTCAATGATAACCACATAAGTTTCTCTCAGGCATTCATTAGCTTCATCAAAAAAGTAGTATGTTAAATTCATGATGCGTAAACATCTTTTCTCCCTCTAGCTATGTCTTAAAAAAAAAAAAATACTCCTTTCTTATGTAAAACTACTTTTCGAATTACAGTACAAGCACCATGTTTAGTAAATATTTATATATTTAACAACGCAATACTTTGTCAAATTCAATCTCTTTATATTACTGCACGTTATAAACAAAACCTGAAAAATTCCTTCTAAGATTACTACACACCACGAATTAAAATGCAACACCTTGTACATTTACATGCTTATATTGCGTAAACCTAAGTTTTATTGTATTTTAAATTATGATCAGATTGTATTGCAGCTTCTCTGTTCACAGCCAGTAAAACTTCAAAAAGAACAAATCTGCCCAGAAAAGTGGAATAAAAACCTCTACCAAAAGAGCAGCACCAGTGTTATTTGGTTATACTTAACCTTTGTTAACTTCAAATTGGAGAATTACAAGTCTAGTTTTTAAAGAAAGTCTTGTGCTACAGAAAGCAATACACAAAACTACAGACTTATGTGGCAATTTCAAAGGATAACTCATTTTGAAGATACACAACTCCGTTTCTGAAATTATTTTATATAACAGAAAAAGTATTTTGTTACCATTTCACCCTCACAAATTTAAACACCTTAATACCATAATACTGAATGTGTTCCTTCCAGTAAAGACATACGAGAAACATATAAATGAGAAACTATTTATAAAGATGGTTTAAGAAAGGAGGGCATTTTATCAGTATAACAGAAACCACACAAAAATGCAATTCCACATACACTGATGTCATTGGCAAAGCCAGATTAGAAAGTCCCTCTCGTTTGCTCACTCCAGCTGGTTATTTTTTCTCTTTGTGGCCCATACAACGGCTCGAGAGCCTGTACTGCCAACCTGCTCATTGCACAGGCCTCGTTAACAGTGCAGCTTCACCACCCATTAGCCCAGAGCACCTGAAGGTGCAGGAATAACAGGACAGGAGCTGGTAGGCCTTATTCTTAGCTAGAATTTCTGACAGCTTTGCCATCAAATAAAGCATGTGTGAACCCGCACTTCTGCTGAACTGGCTCCCTGTGACAAACACTCAAACATGGGCAAAATCACCACTTAGCTCTGAATATTAAATTCAGTGATTTCTTCTGCTGTGGGCATGAAGAGCCCCTGTCACAGCTTACCTGTTTCATTGCTTGTTTTTTCAATGCTTCTTTCTGAAGACTTTGACCAACAGTTGTCTAAAAGATGAAAACATTGCAGAAATCATGTTAATGATATTGAAATTGCTCATGTTATTTTTGTACATTTGAATGGGCAGCTATGTAATTAAAGTCTAATTTCATCAGACAGTCTTGGACTTCAATAGTACTTTTTCTGAATGCAAGAAAAACTAGGAGTTTATCATAAGCACAGGACAATCATTCCCAAGTTAATGGAAACTGGAAGTGTGTCCTCCTACCAAGCAGTGTAACAAAGCATTAATGCTGCTAGAAGCTGTGTTTGTGAATACAGAAGGACAAATATTCTCAAGGGTATATCATATTTCTATTACTCTCTTAAAAAGGTAGGTGCTGTTTGAAAGGGACAGTTTCCAATATGTAAATTTATTTGGAAATAGAACAGCCAGGAGCCAAAATTTTTACTGGCAATAGCTGTATTCAGCCAAAGCCAAATATCCAAAAGGATTTTGGTACTTTAAATAAAGTGTCATCAGTGCCAGTAGTATTATATTTTTAAAAAGAAGAATGTTGCTAATTTGAACGGCAAGTACTTCAAGCACTGACACCTAATTTTATTTTTTTCAATGATTAATGTGCTAGAAAATAGCAATACTAATCTTTCCTGGGGAAAAAAAAATCCATTGCTGAAAAACGATTTCTAATCATTCTTTTTTTTTTTAAAAAAAAAAAAAGCCTTTTAATTAGTGTTAAATTTGACTGCATAGCTTTCTTCTCTCAACCAAGAGATAATACTGTTTACTAAACAGATTCACTGTAAACGACAGGACTCAGCCTTGTTTATGTAATTAGATATCACTTAATCTTATAAAGCAGAAATAGGAAGGAAAAATCCTTTTCCATTTTGACAGCTTCCCAAGCTTTGAACCTTTGAATAAAACCTGCTCTATATCGCTTTTCAAAAAAGGAAAGAGATTGTGTAACAAAATCTTAATAAAAACAGAAAACCAAATAACAGGAAGCTTGGAAGCAGGAACTAGGATCTTCTGAAATCAAATAAACCAAGTACAATGTACATTTAAGTAAATCCACTGAACAAAGGAGATTTAGATTTTATTTAGTGCTTAGAAAATAATGATTTGTCATGACCCCTTTTTCTTACACTGTTGAAATTTTAACAGATGCGTCAACAGATAAAAAGCCAAGTGCTTTTCCCCAGGTTTCTACATGATAGATTGTGAACAAGTCAAATCTTTTTCACTAGTTTATTTCAGAAACAGAGAACAAGCTCTGCCATGAACAGAATTAATGAACTCATTTTATATGGTTTTATACAATCTGTCCCTATTTCTTTCATCATCGTAGGTGTCCTACCTGCTTGATTTGGCAAGTGGGCAGCACCCCGCATGGTCAAAAGCTGCCACTCTCCTGAGCAGTCTGTCAGCTGCTCCTTCTCAAAATGGAGAATTAAAAATCTCAACAAATCCCTTATGATTTCTTCTAAAAATGCTAACTAGAAAGCAGTATGATTCTCTTAGTAAAAGCAACTATCTTAAACTGGCAGCAGAGCACAAGTTGCCACTGCACGGAAGACCCAGCCTCGGGGAGGGAGAGGGTCCTCTATCCTCTGCCAGAAAACAGGGGCTCGAGGAAAAGGGGAAAGAAAAACAGGCCCTGCCATTATATTTACAAAATAAGCTTTATTCCACCAAAATATCCCAAACATCGCTTAGGATGTTTTCCTTGTCCTACCAGAAATAAATGCATTGATCTATAAAGATTATGCAAACACAGAAGTAATATACAATCCTTGTGATTGTACACAAATTATAAAGAAGTCCACCTGGGATTTGTTTGTCCAGGAGGGCAGTAAGTTTACAAAAAAACGAACACCTTCCCTAGGTTTACAGTCGACAATTTCCTGTTGTGCTACGAGCTCTGATAGATGAGAACTTCCTGTTCTCTTGTATTGTTTTCACTTATCAACTGTCCATTTATTAAAGGCCCTACGAGCTCAGCAATCTGTCTCATACTTTGTTTCCCTGCAGTCAAGCTATTATTTGGAAGCACATTGCTTACAGTTTAATATTTTCTGTGGCAAGAAAATATTTTAACCCTGTCCTATGAGGCTATATTGAACCCAGGCAAACCCAGAAAGTCTTAGAAATGAGACCCGACAGGACACCTGGCCTACAACACCATGGAAGACAACTCGTAGGCAACGGAGTTCAACATCAAAAGTAACAAAAGAAATGGTCTGACAGCTACCAATGTTTTCAAGGGCCCTCTCATCTCTTTCCTCCTACGTGTACTTTTTCCTGCAGGGCTCTTAAGAACCTGAACTACCTCCTTACTTCCATCCAGCAGCTTAGCACCCTTTGTAAGTTGCTTCTTCAAATTTCCTTACACGACTCCAATGTAAGCAAAGAAGAACAGATACTCAAACTACTTACCAAAGTTTTGGGCTTATTTCTGGTAAATTCAATTTATGCTAATGATATGCAAAGTACTTAGAAAAAGCTCTGTTCAAAGTTGAAAACAAGTATCCAAGATGGTGATTCCACAAAGGAGACAACTAAGCAATTTCACTGTCCCACAAGTTTATCTTGTATGCTCTGCCTTCCCACACCTGCAGGCCCCATGTGCCGTGCCTTCATCACCCTCAGCTTCCTCCTACCCCACCTTCCTGCATCTTCAATGTCCTCTCATATCTCCAAATCCTCTCACAATTGCTAAACCTCTCTCACATTCTTTATAGGCTCCTATAATATACGAAGCTCCTTCTCACAATCACTGAAGAGCTCAACTGCAATACTCCAAGTGCTAAGCCCTTATGGACACGAATGTCTGACCATGACTTCTCTAAACTTCTTTTTAGGAAATTCTACTAAAAGGAGGAAAGTAAACGATTGACCTGAACATGCTTCGTTTAAAAAATATTTGGGTTCTATTTACTCTTCTGATTTGTTAGCCATCTCATTTGTTCTTGAGAAAAAGCCAGTTCCTGGTTTAGAGCTTTTTGCATCAACTCCTTCTGAATTCTTCTGTAGATTACACAATTCCTACAGCAGCAGATGTGACTCCATTTCCAGCACAATCACAGACAACAAGTCTTAGATCTATGACTAATTTTCAGTAATGAAGCTAGTTTCTAGAAAGTTACAGCCTTAATGCTACATGAGTTTGTATTTATACAATAGACAAGAGCTGAAGTTGAAAATACTTTTGAAACACCAAATTATTAAGGCTTGCCCAACTAGAAACTTATATTATCATACTAGAGCCTACACATGGACATTTACTAAACATAAATGCGACTCAAACCTTCATTAAAAACAAAGTCAACACAACAGATACATCACAATTCATATGCTATTCTAGCCATGGCCACTAACAGAAAAGAACGTGAAAAACGGGTCATGTAAATGATTAACTTTCCTCAGCATACCCTGAGAGCATCCAGCAATCAAAATTTTAGGGACTTCCGGAAATAGAGGATGCACCTGTATCATTGTTCAACACCAAAATGCATCCCTTAATTGGACTAATCACTTTCTTAATCCTTTAACATTTTTGGCCACGTGGTTGTTTGTGTGTGAGAGAGAAAGAGAGAGAGAAAGAGAAAAAAAAAACAAATAAACAAAGAACAACCTTCCTTTTGTTTAGATTACAGCAGTTACTTGGCCATTCCATAAATCAATCTACTGTTTGTATTATGAAATGGCAAAAAGAAATCACTTTACCTGGTTTACTTGTTCCCAGGCAATATGATGTTTCAAAAAAAATTCCATTCCAGATGTTTAGCTTGCTATGAACTAGCCCAAAGATCTTAGTCAGTAACTAACATTCACTGACACTCTAAGCCACAGCTAAGAGTTCATACATTAAAAAAATAATCACCTTTTTCAGCAGGAGTACAGGCACTATCTTAATGAAATATGCATAGTGACATTAAAAATAAATAAATAAATATAAGGAACAAAAGTTTGGTATCTAATACATAATCACGGACCATGTCAGGTGTGCAGATTTCCCAGCACGAACTTTATTAGAGTTCAGTTAAAAATACAAAATCTCCAGACATTTGAGATATAGTTCTGACTGATAAGGTAGCAGACAGGAAATGAAACCCCTCCCAAATGCTACTCCTTATCTTGAAAAGCTCTGAAATTATTACTGAACTAATAAAGTAATTTTGCTTTTTTTTTTTAAAAAAAAAAAAAAACAACAAAAGAAAGATCTTCTCTGATAAAGGCTGTTATGAGATTATTACTTTTTGCTGTGTATGTAGCATACTGATGCACATGGCAACTCCTAAGAGTCTTTAGAGCAGATGCTGCTAGTGAATGTGTCAGCTTTTATAAATCCTTTGGAAAGAATTTGGGTAACAGCTAATGGGTTGAAGAGTATAATGCAAATCGTCTAGTGTTTCCAAGAGTAACTGGCTTTTCCTGTGTATCAAAACCAAACTCCAGAAGACTCTGCTGTAGTAGAGCTTCATAATGATGGTTTATTCTAATTTTGTTTTTATCCTCTCGTTCTATGTGAAAGGACACACTTCAAGAGAGCAAGTGCAGCTGGCAGCAGAGGGACAGACAGACCCGTTCTGCATTATACTTCCTGTGTAACCTTGAGCAAAGCACTTAGGGACTGATCTCAAAAAAAGATTCGCTCAAGCCTTTAAATTTCAAATAGATCCAGAACTACAATTGAAAACAGGCAATCCATCTGAAAACTCTGGAAGCATCTCAGGTTTACAGTCCTTCAAGTTTTCAATTTGCAGGTACCACAGTTACCCAGTGTTCCAAATCCTGAACTGCCATGGACAGGGAAAGTTCTCCTGCCTTTGAGCACTGTGGATCTGCTTCTATTCTCCATTAGCTTTATGTAGAAGTCAGGCAGTTATAAAGGCATCCAAATCTGTCTTACACACCAAGCCAGTTCTTGGACTTCCTCATGTCAAAGGCAGTACATATAAAATTGTTATTTTTATGGAGTACAGCACCCTCTACAGGTAACAGGGCAGGTAACAAGCTTTTATTCTGAAAACAACATTAATAATATCATGCAATATAATCAAACGTCATATAGTAAACTTCATGATCATAGAAAGGCTATATATTGTCCAATCATGACACATTTCAAGTGTCATACGAATTACAAGTAATACTCATTACCTTTTTGTTTTTTGGCTCCCCTTCCTTTAAAACTTTTGATTTGTCATTATCATTATTATTGGTAAGTAGTTATTATCAAATGTGGGTGGAAAGATCAATATTGAAACACACTTAAAATACTTACTGTAAAATGTAGATATTAAAATCAACAGTTGACCACTACTGGTGTTTATATTTGCAGACAAACTTACCTGTGACAACCAAATGATTTCTTTATGAGCAAGATGTTAAATCTTGCAGAGAAAGCCACATAAATGTGATTGCAAGAGCTGGCAGAAAGTAACTAAGCATCAAGTTACCACCTTCATTTAACTTGAATAAAATACATATCATATTTCACAATCACAACAAAAATGATGCTACATATCTTAGTAATGTTGCTGTGAGCTGATACTGGTATATGGGTTGTGAAAACCCTAAGGTTGTAAACAAATAAACTGTAGTAAATAAAACAAACAACTCCAAGAATATGGGACAAATTTAAGAAGAAAATTGATTAACTGACCTCTTCATCAGAGTCATCTTCAAACACCGAAAGTTTCTTCGTAGCAAGATTTTTTTGCTGTGTTTTTTGGGGCAAAATGAGCCCATATCTAGGGAAAAAAAAAAGTTGCTTTTAATACTATTTACAATAAAAATACAGCACATGCCAAAACAAAATCCCACCATTCACGATTTTAGAAACAAAATATGGGCATCAACACCATACTATCAAGTATAGTTCTGACCAGCATTTGTAGCAGTGCACTCAGCTTTGCCACATACTCGTCAGCTTTTCCCAGAGCCATTGCTGCTTTTCTTCTATGCAACGTTTCTGAAGGCTACAACCTTCCTAAATTAGGCAGCAAACTCCTCTCATTCTTAAGTTTTCTAAAAAATGCTTTTTCCTCTCACAGAAAATTAAAAAAAAATCTGCTCTTTAACCTAGCCTTGGCCTACAGCACATACTCATGTGTGATTAAGTTTGCCTGGGCAGTAAATAGTTCACATGCTTTGTATGAGACTGCAAACCACCAACACACAGATACAGCTCCAGTAAGAGTCTTGCAGGCAGCTCACAGAGAGATCAGCTGCACATGGAGAACTCTTGTGCTGACACTACTAACACCTGTGGTGTTTTCAGTAACCACATTTTGCTTCCAGGAATTACTTTTCTATCCATTTCTCCTCTCATTTAACTTGTGGTATCGACAGCATTGCAGAGGTCTCCAGCTTAACCCCCCACACGGTGAGGAGTTATTTCTTTTACCTCCTGCCACCTGCCCAGTAGTTTTATTTGCTCCCAGGGTGCGGAGAGCAGCCTGGACTGTGTCCCTGCCATCATAGGAAGGATTTCGATGGTAGTAGCTACAAAGCACTTTGCATGGGACTCCTGAGAGCATTCTGCTTTGTCAGAGTCAAAACACCCACGTGACAGAACAACAGAAGCCTCTACTGCTTCTCTGCTTGCTTTTCAGTCGTTTATTTTTGTCCTTTTAAAGCAAATACAGTTTTAAATTCCGATCCATACAGACAGCAAGGCTGGAGGAGCTGCACAGCACACCTGTCCTGCTCTGGGTCCAAACCACGGCTCCCGCACACAGGCAACTCTGCGCCCTCTGCACCCACTCTGCATGGGCACCGAGCGCCTGCGCTCCGAGGATGCCGGGCCCGCGGGGACAGCGGGCAGCAGAGCGCGGCCCCAGGCCCGCAGGACACCGGCAGCTGATGGGAAAGGGCTCGCAAGGGCCCC